CCTATGATTATTTTTGTTATTTATTTAGAATTTTAGATTGCTTTTCTTCGTAGATCTTGAAAAATTTTCACAACACAGCAAAATATTTGGATTTTTTTTTTTTTTTTTTTTTAAACTTTTGTGCAGTTCTCAATGGAAGCATCTGTCTTTTCAAAACAGAATTCCAATAGCTCAATTATGTTCATGTCTTTTGATTTGCTTCTTAAAGCAAAATTTTTGTTTATGATATCCTACCCTGAAGTAATTCGTTCCTAAACATTCTGAGTTGATGCAATTTCAACCAAATGTGTTTTTATCAGCATCTTCTTTTAATAACAAGTTCTGAATATCTGTAATAGTCTTAACATGAAACTTAGCATAGTTGGTAGAACCTTTTTCTGTACCATCAACTCAAGAAGTTTCATTTTCACTATCAGACTGATCTTATTCTTAACAGGTTTTATTCAATTGCTGAAAAGATTTAATTTAAAGAATAAAAACTTTTAGCCACGCTTAGCCAAATAAAATCTCTTTAAATGTAACTGATCTTGTACCCTGCGGGAAAAAAAGGGGGGCACAGTTATATACCTCCCATTCTACTATCCTGTCCGATTGACGGAATTCATATTGCGTTTTTCAAGTCTCGGAAGCGCAACTTAGGATATATATTAGATATATATACATACTTGCCAACCTATGACACTCAAAAATCAGGAGATTTTTTAACAAAATCAAGAGATTTTTCACAATGTTAAAAATATTTTTTAAATGATAAAAATATAGTTTTTAATAATGAATTAACTTTAAATAGTTACTAAGTCTTAACTGCAAACAAAACAAAAAATACCTAAAACGTAAAAAACATTTTTATTACTTGCATCGTTTAAAAAAAAAAAGACACTTTAATCAGTTTTCATACAAATGTTATGGACAGTCGCAGATTTTGTTTTCGTTAAGAAAGAAACTTCATAATTTTGTTCATAGCAATTGCCACGTAGGCCTGCTTTCGCTAATAAAAGTTTTTCTAATGTGTCATCACTAATATTAGATCTAAATTTAGTCCTCGTTTTCGCAACAACACTGAAAATCCTCTCACACTCCGCATTACTATGGGGAACTAACTGTCAAGATGGCCAACATAATTCTAGAGAGTTCACTACATTTTAAAATTCCATCAGCACCTTTCAATTTTCCAATTAAACTCCACTGGGTATCAATCCTAGCTGATTTTATAACTTCATCCAAGTTTTCTAATTGTAAACTGCAAAATTGCGACTGTAGTATATCAGTAGCAACATCAATATCGTCATCTTCATGACTAAACGAAGTAACACAGGAAATCTGTTCAAAAGTACCTTATGTCAGGAAAAAGATTGCATTTGCTAGAGCAGAAACATCAGCAACTTTAGCATGCAAAATCACTTCATCATTGACTGGAAATTTATGTAGTGTTTAATCACATAATCGACAGAAGTAACTTCAACATGAAGATAAAACTTATTTTTGTCTTCTTCTGAAAGTTCTTCCACTGCTTTTGTAGTTGCAGCTCCTATTACCAAATCTTCATCTTTGTTCTGATTTTCTATTTCACCATAAATCACATCATATATAAAATTACAAGACAAAACACACAACTGGTTTTACAAACTTTGATAAAATGTCTTTAAACAGATCACAAATCATTGATTGCAAAACATGAATTAAATGGAATTTTGCTTTGTAGAATTGTGTTCAGAACATCGAATGATGGCAAAATTATTGTAAAAAAAAAAAGCAAAAAGCTTTTGTTAAGGTCCGAAGAAAAAAACATAAATATTCGTTCTTCACAAGATAAACTTACAGTAATCGGAAAATGTTTTGTGTGTTGAGCAATTTTTTTTTTTTTATTTTATTTTTTTTATTTTGAGAGAAATTTGTATCAGCTTTACGCTTATATTTTGCAGTATTATTTTGAGAACTGCCAGTTGAATTGCTGAATGATGCAGAAATTACAAAAATCAAGATTTTTCTCATTTCAGTATTATGCAGCTGTTGGGAACTGTTTCAATTTTTCCTTTCTTTTAGAACTCCTTTCAAGATAATAATAAATATCAACAATGTGTTCATCCACATTTAATGGTAAAGAAGCTGCCCCTTTTTCAGCTGCTAAATTTAAGAGGTGACAGGTGCACCTCATAATCTGCAAATCTGAATTTGCCTTTCTTAAGATGCCTGCAACACCAGTCTTCAGGCCTACCATTACTGGTGCATTATCGGCACCAAGTGCTAAGCAATTATTTAGAGGGACTGCATTTTCTTTTAAAGTTTTAATAATTAGCTGTGCTATATTAAAGCCTGTCGAATGTCCTTCTAAAGTGGGAACAGAAAGTAAACTGCACTCAATTTCTGAAGACTCTGGATTAAAAAAAGAAACAACAATTGGATACAGTTTTGAATTGGTATTATTGCTTCCATCCATAGACAGTCAGAACGGAGCTGTTTTAATGCAATCAATAACTGAAGATTTATTTTTCAAACCCATTTCTTTAACAATTGCACCTGTTTTGGTCCTTGCACTTGAGTATTTCTTAGCGATTTCACTATCAGGAAACATTTTTCTAAATAAAGCTGCAGCGTGATCCAATGCATTCAGTGGCAGGTTGTGCTCCAGTAAAAAGGCAGAGATCAGACATTCTGCATTAATCACTTTTTGGTCTTTTGTTTCCGAAGAAAAATTTAATTTTTCGTTTTTTTCTCAAAAACAACTCATGTTGTCCTTGTGTTTTTGTGTACGAACATGTTTGAGAACATCTGCCCTTCCACCATGCAAAATCAAAAAATCGCAACGACAGATGGTACACATCGCATATTTATTACATTTGCTTGAAGAAATAATGGAAGGAAAGTCAACTGTGTACGATTTTTGAAACGTGCACGAGTATTTCACCTTTCTCGCAGACATAACAAAAGACAATAATTTCTAAAACTATTTCCCAATGGCACGTGTACTCACACAACTCAGGACAAGATGAACGAAATAACGAAAGAACATCCAAATAATGGCCAATGGCCTTGAGCTTGCTTTGTGCTCATTGGCTAATATATGCCAGATCACACGCAGTGGAGCTCGATGCCCATTGGAGAACTGGAGAACGACGTTTCTGGATACGTATGCTGTCACTCACAAAGCAGAAATTCTCATCTGATTCGGAAGGTTTTATTTTAGATATAATCTAGAGAATATTCAGTTGCTTTCAGACGTCCAAAATCACTTTTTTTTTTGTTCATATAACGAAGTATTAAGCTAAGTTCCATAAAAATCGTGAGAAATATTAAAATAAGAGAAAGTCGGGAGAAATATATTGTAAATCGGGTTTGCGGGAGAGCAGTCGAAAATCGGGAGTCTCCCGCCTAAATCAGGACAGTTGGCAACTCTGTATATATATAGCATTGGTCTAACACAGGTATTTTGACACAAAATCAGACTTTTTCTGAAATGACATACAAAATTTTTTCCATATTTCAATTCTATGACTCAAATTATGTCTAAATATTAAACTTTGTAATATTCGGTGCAAAATGTCTGGAGAAATTCAAAAATTTATCTTGGCGTATTTTTTTCAGTTTGTGCCAAGAATAATTCACTTGGCAAACTTCTTAATTTATAGCAACATATTTTCCTTTCTTTTTTTTCATTGCAGAAGAGCGGAAAAGTCATCATTCATACTTTCAAATAGTTTTAACAAAGTGTGTTAACCACATTTAGCGTTATTATCGCTTATAACAAATATGCCAAATTCCAAACTGCACCAATATGTAAATTCATGTATATCTTAGAACATTTTGAATAAAAAACTCTATTTTTTTTTTTTTTTTTTTGCACGTATGTTTAGACAAAGAAAGTCTATGTAAAGAAGGAAAGGCTCCATAGACGTAATATAAAGCAGTTTTGTGTTCTACGCCGCTAGAAAGAAGAGGGACAATTCGCCAAGGAATTTGGCGACGGAACCTGTTGGCGAGAATTTCCCCCTTTGTGATGTACCTGGTCAAGATTTTCCACCTCTGCCACGTGTACAGGAAATTGAGGAATACAGGTTAAGATGAATCGTTCTTTGACTTTTCGCAATAATTTAAACTCGAATTTTCATGCTTTTTTGCTTTACTAGTTAACTTGTATTATCCATATCGCAGTTTGATGTCTGATTTTATATCTGTCAATATGTAGGAAAAAAAATGGAGTCACACAGCTCTAAACTCTTGATAAACATGAACGTCGAACCTGTTCGAACTTCGAGCTTTGGCGCTTTTTGATGGCAGATATTTCACGCATGTGCAGTTGTGTCCCTTTTCGTTCGGAGGGAGCCACTCCTGCTGCTGCGAAGCTTTCCTTCTTAACAATACATATTCTTTGGCTTAGAAATACACCTACTCTAAGGTGAAAGCAAAAGTTTTATAGGTAATAACTCAAAATTTTTTTCGAAAAATTAAAAATAAATCATAAAAATGGATGATTTTTATTTAGAATGAACCTGAATTTTGAAATTTAAAGGAAGAATCAAATAAGTTTAATAAAAAAAAAGGTATTAATAAACATATATCAGATTCAATTAACTTTGAGGAGCAAAATTTTGAGAGATAATTTTTTAAAAACTACTCATGCGATATTTATAAAACTTTGCAGTTTGGCATAATTTGAGTCGTAGAATCAAAATATGGAAAAAAAAGTGGCATGCCATTTCAGAAAAAGTCCGATTTTGTGTCAAAATACCCATATTAGAACAATGATATATATAAATCTAATACATATCCAAAGTCACACTTTTGAAACATAAAAAATGCAATTTGAGTTTTGTCAATCGGCCCAGTAGAACACAAGATGTAGAACTGTCCTCCTTTTTTGGGGGTAGGGCAGTGTACCTAATTGTATGAAAACCATTATTATTATTTCATTAAATTTTTGTTCATAAAATTAATTGAAATATTTATAAATAAAAATCTTTGACTCTAAATATTTATTCAGAATCATATTCTATTTTACAAACCTTATCACTTGGAATTAAAATATTTGAACTAATAAATGGAGAACAAGCATCAATTAAAATATTTCTGTCCTCATCAGTTTTACATAAGTCCAAAGCAGTATTTCCAAGAGAGGTTCTGCAAAAGAAAAATATTTTGTATTAAAATATATTTTTTCTTTCCTGAAATATTAAAATATATTTTTCAATTATAACAATGTTGTATTTTTGCATGCTAAGTGTTTGAGTTATACCAGCTACAACTCAACTCTGTTTAAGTTTTATGTTTTAAAAATAAGCTCTATCATTTTTGTAAGAATAATTGCTTCTAAATTTTTGTAAATATCTGCAATTAAAGAGTTTTTTCATATTAAATCCATAGTTATTTTCGAATCCTTTAAAATACTGCCGTCCTGGGAACAGGACTATGGATAATTTAAAACGGGAAAGAACACAATTATGGCGATGTTTCACAATTTCTTTGAAAGAAATGGACACTGTTCTAAAAGACGAAGCAGTAAGTAAGATTGATTTGATATCTGTATTTAATATATTTAATGATAAAGCTGACAGATTATTTCAGTTAGATGAAATAGATAAAGTAAAATGGCTATAAATGGAAAATTTTAATGAAGATGAATTTTCTAATGATATAGATTTAACGGAAAGCTATCAAAATCAGTGGGCTGCTATGAAAACGAAAGTTGATTTAATGTTATCAACCACTGAAAGAAAGGGCGATATTTCTAGTGTAGTAAATGAAACCAAGTGAAATTTCCGTCTTCGTAAGTTAGAATTGAAACATTTTGATGGTAATATTAAAAACTGGCTAGGATTCTGGAGACAATTTAAAAAGATTCATGATGATGATAGCATTGATGCAGATGACAAATTTCAGTATCTTTTACAAGCAACTGAAGAAGGTTCATCGGCCAAAAGTGGCGAAAATTTTACTTTGCGGATTCTTTATGATAAATTGGAGACTCAGCTGCGAGCATTAGAGACTTTAAGCGAACATCTGAGAAATATGAAGCAATGTTATATCCTTTAGTAGAATCAGCTCTGCCAGAAGTTCTTATCAAGGAGTGGGAATGCATACATAACCGTGTAGAAAATAAAGACAAAATGAACATGTTAGGAAATTTATTAGAATTTCTTCATTTGGAAGTTGAAAGTGAAGAGCGGTTACAACTTGCTCGATCAGGGTTTGAGAATGATCAATTTGAAAAATTTAAAACGAAAGAAAAAATTCCCACTACAGCTTGTATTGTATCTAATGAAAAGAAAAGAGCTGAGAAAAATGGCAAACATTGTTTATTTTGTAATAAGTCATCTATCTCAGAATGTTTTAATGCTGCCGAGATGTCACTGGAGGCGAAAAGGGAAACACTGAAGAAAAGGGGAGCTTGTTTCATCTGTATGAAACCAGGACACAATTCTAAGACCTGAAAAGCTTATTTAAAGTGTATTATATGCAAGAAAAAAAAAAAAAAAAAAAAAAAAAAAAAAAAAAAAAAAAAAAACCATAGCATTATGTGTCCAAATATAAATCAATCAAAACAAGACAAACAATCTGAATTGGATGCACAGGTTCTTTTGTCACCAAAAAATTCTCCAACATTATTGTTAACTGTACTGGTGAAAATCATCAATGATGACAAGTCTGGAATCGTTCGCAGATTATTTGATACTGGTGCTCACAGATCTTTCATACGAAAAGATATTGCGGAGAAACTAGGATTGAAACCTGTAGATCAAGAAATGATGAGCCATGGACTTTTGGGGGGCAGTGAAACTAAAGAGTCGCATAATGTCCACAATATTACATTACAAAGCTTGTGTCCAAATTTCAAGTGCACTATTTCAGTTTTGGACGAAAAGAAGATATGTGGTGCAATTCCACATGTAGAAGATCCTGATATTTATCCAATTTTGAAAAAGAAATATATATGCTTAAGCAATACAGGAGAATATGTGCCTGGAATAGGTTTATTAATAGGAGCAGATTACCTTGGCACATTATTGACTGGGATAATTGAGCCCATTTATAATAATTTGGTAGCTATTAAAACAAAACTTGGATGGACACTTCAAGGTAAACAAAGAAACTACTCAAAATTTTTTGAGAGTATTGTATATGCTAATAATTTAGATTTTATGGGATTGTGGAGCCTAGATGTCATCGGTAAGATGTCCTGCAGAAGTAAAGTCAAGGCAGGTAACCAATGAAGAAACAGTAGATTTTTTTCGTAAAACTATTAAAAGAAACGAAGACAAAAGATATGAATTATGTTTGCCATGGAAAAGTGGATGTCCAGAATTAGAAACGAATAAAAAATTAGCTACTAAACGGTTAATGTCAACTACCAAAAATCTCTTACGATCTGGACATTTAAGAGAATATGATGATGTGTTTAATGAGTGGGTTCAGGATGGAATTATTGAAATTGTACGAGAAAAAGGGACACTATTTACCACATCATCCTGTGATAAAAACTTGCGTAACAACAAAAATTCGTCTGGTTTTTGATGCGCCGACGAAAGATTCCAAAGGAAATTCCTTGAATAACTGTTTAGAAAAGGGGCCAAATTTATTAGAATTGGTACACAAATTGATAATGCAGTTTCGGAAAAATGCAATTGGCGTAATTGCAGACATCAAAAAAGCATTTTTACAAATCAGTTTGAATCCAGAGGATAGGGAGTATTTTAAATTTCTGTGGTAGAAGGATTTATCAAGACGAGAAGAAATAATCACTCTCCGACATTGTAGAGTGGTATTTGGTGCTTTTCCTAGTCCATTTTTTACTAGAAGCAACTAAAGCTTTCCATCTAGATAACGCTCCGGATGAAAGGAAGCAAACACCTTGTCGACTCAAAGAATCTTTTTATGCGGACAACTGTATTACAGAAGTTTTTAATATGGCTTTAACCCTTTGCAGCTCAGTGTTCCACTACATGGAACACCCAAATTGAATCACTTCTGAAACCTTTAAATTCAACCGTAAATAGATAAAAATGCCTTTATAATATACTTTGAACATTTCTTTTTAAACATTAGATAGCAGCATATCACAAGGAGACAAAGAATTTTCATTTATTATGTGTTATTAAAATCCACGTTTTTCAAGTAATTTTCTCTATTTTTTTAATGATATAAAAAATTTTATTTGGAAAAAAAAATTAGGCATAATTTTGCTGGCTGTACTCCAAATTATTTGTTCTATATTTTTTTAAATCTTTCATACAAAAACCATACGCAGAATCATTGAATGAAACAAGGTGTTCCATTAGCGGGAACACTGCGCCTTTAGCGATCTCATGCTGTTACGAATCAGAACATCTGTGCTTAGGAGAAAACATCCGTTGTTTACGTTTTCTGTTTCTGTTGTTTTTTTTTTGGGGGGGGATGAATTCAAACAAAGCAGTATTGAGGGGTGAAGTGTGTTTTGTGTTATGAAAGCCCTAATATTGGCATCTCGTATTTTTTGGGAGTAGGTTTTTTAGGCGTGACTTTTATTAGTAGCTTGATTCATCTTTACTTAGACCTGTGCGAATTTTTTGCTGTTGCTTTTTATTCTCATTCCCGTTTATTTTCAATAATTGTGTAGACATTTTTCGTGTATGTAGTATATATTATAGGCTTATTTTTCTTTATTGTTAATATTAATCGTAGTTAATTATTTTAACCGTAGTTGGTTTGTGCTTCCATCAAAAAGGTGTGACTTGCTTTGAACAATTTCACGAAGCTAAGAAATAGGAAAATTTGTAAATATTGTTGTATATAGGACTTGTGTATATAGATATTTATATCATTTATCTGTATATATTCAAGAACATTGTGTATATCCAGGAAACCAGGTATACAGCCATAATACAGAGTTTCTTTCATTCTTATACAAACGCTTCTACTCATTTTCGTGCTTCACTGCAATGCTCGCTTAGTCGCACTTTTAAAAGCTTTGGCGGCGCTGTGTTCCACCTCATGGAACACCCACACAATGAAAACGGTAAGTGCAATTTTTACAAAATTTTACCTGTATACTCCTTTAGGACTAAATAGACTGCATACAACGTTTTTTGTTGAAATTCCGACGTTAATGTATAGTGCGCCGCAAAGGGTTAAGAAGATTCTTTGCTCGAAGAAGTAGAGTAAATATAATGTACACTGACAACGGTACAAACTTCATTGGTTCAAGCAATGCTCCAAGAAATTTAGATTGGGAGAAGATCATGTCGTTTTCCACTATCAGGAAAATCAAATGGAATTTAACCTTCCAACAGCCGCCTGGTGGGGAGGATGGTAGGAGCGCATGGTTAGAATGTTGAAAGAGATGCTAAGAAGAATTTTGGACAGGAAAAGTCTCGACTATGAAAAGTTGGAAACTATTCTGTGTGACTGCGAAGTTACAATAAACTCTAGGCCACTTACATATATTGAAGACAATTCTGAAGGTCTGAAGCCATTAACTTCCGCTTGTTTCTTACAAAGTATTCCTAGCAGTGAAACAACTGATTTAGATGAAATCGGCAGTAAAAACCTAAATATAAGACTGCGTTTTGTAAAAAAATTAAGGCAGGTTTCAAGAATGAGATTTCAGAATGAGAATTTAGCAATGTTGATTCATAAAGGTAAGAGCCGGGAAGAATCTTTAAGAGTTGGAGAGGTCGTTCTTTTAGAACTGATGGCAAGTGTATCAACTGGCCTTTAGGAATCGTCATTGAAGTCTTTTCTGGAGCAGATGGGCACTCATGAGTTGCCAGAGTGAGAACAGCTGATGGATAGAAGTTGAGACAATTCCAAATACTTTAGAAATCAACAGTTTGGAAAAGTTACCATTCATTGCCCAAGATGCTCGAAGGGATGAAAGTGCCTCTCAGAATATGCCTCTACGCCCTGCAGCTAATGATTCAGATTCCAGTGAAGATGATAATTCGTAACCCAAAGTCCCAGATTTTGTTACTAGACCTGGTTGATGTGTTAAAATTCCCAATAGACTTAATTTATAACTTTTGTTGCAATTTGTAGGATACCTACAAATTGAAAGGTGGGAGGTTGTTTGAGTAATACCAGCTACAACTCAACTCTGTTTAAGTTTTATGTTTTAAAAATAAGCTCTATCGTTTTTTAAGAATAATTGCTTCTAAATTTTTGTAAATATCTGCACTTAAAGTGTTTTTTCATATTAAATCCATAGTTATTTTCGTATCCTTTAAAACTAAGAGTAAACCAAATAACAAGTCTTGTCTTTTTATTAATTTGATTATTATAAGGATATACAATGCCACTTAAAAATAAATTAATCAATTCCAATAATGCATTTTATTTTAAAATAAAAAAAATACATTATTGTATAACTTTTAATTAAATCCAAACTTCCACATACTTTAAATGTAAATCAGCACCTCTAGAAACTAAAAGTATGGCAATTTGCATCTTTTCATTAATCAGAGCATCATGAAGGGGAGTAATATTATCTTTCAGAGAAGGAACATTTACAAGGGCTCCATGATCCAGAAGTAATTTTGCTATTTCAACATAACCATGACTGCTAGCTTCATGCTAGAAAGAATAAAACAAAGCAATGAGCATAGTAGAAAACCAATTTTTTTTTTTTTTTTCAGTTTTAGTATGATTTATTCTACAAGAAACCTTTATAAAACTTTACTTTTGGACAATCAACTTTAACTAGCTCTTTAAATATCAAACTGGTTACTAAAAGCAAAAATCTTATATTTAAAAAAGTAAGTAAATATGCAGAATTCCAGTTATCTGGATTATTTACTTTTTAAGGCAATTTGCTGTCTATCAGTTTATGCATTTTTGTTGATTTAAATAAAAATAGAAGATAAAAAGTATACTTATAGAGAACCTGTGTACTTTAAAGCTAAATTCTTGCTTTATGTAGACAGTCAGGTGACTTAATGCCCTGTAATCTTACAGAGAAATACCTATGAACTCAGTAGAAAGCTTAAAATGAACTTTTTGAATATAACTTCCCATTTAACAACTTACACAACTAGTGTAATTAATAGAACGATGGTTTGTGGGATTTCACAGAATGCTAATTTAATAAAACTTAAGTCCTTAATGGCTGGAATTTACATGACGAAGTTCTACAGTAAGCTTTGGTTCAAGCTCTTTAATCATGGAGCATGGCTAGCAAAAGATTAAAGCTTTTTCAAGTAAAATCTAAGTGCTGGGCATGAACAGCACAGAAAAGACCAACGACCACAGCCAAAACTTTCACAAGAACTCTATTCTTATACACATTAACTAATAATTTTAACTTAAAAAAAAATTACTACCTATGGAATTACATTCTTTTACTTTATAAATGACTTCTAACTCATTTTAAGTATCATCCACTAGTATATAATGTGCTTACCAAAATAAAAAATTATTCCAATATTCAATTTTATTGAAAGATGCATGTTGGCATTTGTATTTTGCCATTTTAAAAAAGCTACAGGGAAATCATATGAGTAAATACAATCTTTAGCAACATTTAAAAGTACTCTAAACTACTTTTCATGGAATTTGATCCCTCTTGAACAAAGTACTAAAAATAACAGAAGTCAAAACTATTGCACTTTCGGAAGTAATCCAGCTGAGTTACTTACTATGAAAGTAGCACATAAAGACCATACAGTGCAGCTCTCTAAAATTCTATATTACTAACAAACTCGGCCCTAACATATTATTTGAATGCAAGTAAAAATCTTCAATAGTTAAACTGATGAAATTGTTCCCCCCCCCAAAGAATAATTTTAAAGAAATTTTTTACTTCCTATTAGTATATTGAACTTTCGTATTTTTCATTTAACAATATTTATGCATTACCTCATAAAAATTTAGAGTACTTTTATTACATAAAAATAACTGATGATTAAAATTAAAATTACTTAAAATTCATTGCAAACAGAAAAGTAATATTCAAAGTAATAACTTACCAGAGGTGTCCAACCATTATTATCTTGAGTATTTACTAAAGCTCCATCATCTAAGAGTTTCTTCACTTTATCAATATTTCCCTGTAAAAAGAATTAATTATGTACATAAAAAGTTAAAAAAAATCTGAAAGCTTTTAGATTTTATATTATGCCCCAAAAGGCATTTTTTTAGCGTTTTGTGTGTTACCTTTATTTATTAAATATCATGTTTTTCGCACTTAAACTATAAAATTCAATTTAACAGCAGTATCAGAAAATATTTATAAGAGCATATACGCAGTTTCGTGCGTTGGAGATAAAAATGTCCCCCCCCCTTTACTGACTGATTAGTTTAATGAAGAATACTAAATCTATGATTCTTTTTATTACAATAATACCAAATTTTTAGTATATAAATATTATTATTAAAAAAAAGGAGGAGTTTATCACATACTTTAATAACTTCCCGATGAAGCAGTGTTTCACCTTTATGATTTTTTTTATTTAGATTAGAAGGTGACTGCACAGGTACATCTGAAACCTTAGAAGATAATTTCTTTTTCTCAGATGCATTAGAAAATGCTGCACATTTCTTTGCACTTTTTGATAAAGACTTGACTGATGTATTTTCTTGCGTTTCCTGCATATGAAAATTACAAAATAAATTTTTATAGTTTTATATGAAATATCTAACAGTTTAAAAAATAATAATCAAAAGCATTTTAAATTGTTTTAGCTAAAATAGTTCCAAAATACGGCCAATAGCATCAACTGAAACTTATGGTAGAATCTTTACTTAAAATGGCTTGATCAAATGCCCTGCATTTTAAATTATTTTAGCTAAAACAGTTCCAAAATGTATTCAATAGCAACAATAGCTACTTAAGGTAGAAACTTTATTTTAATGGCTTGATCAAATGCCCTACTTCAAATAGCTTTCTTATACTGAGATTGCAAATTAATTGTTTATCTATGTTACATTTTGAATGAAGAATATTTTTGAAGGAATTAAAAAACATTATCTCTATTACGAAATAGTAAAGTATGTTGGTATATATGTTCCTGGCATTGCGGAAAAACGGCAGATTGTACTGCACAGGTAATACTCCAAATGACCATGTGCACTTCGAAGCCCAAACTTTGAATTTTTTAAATTTCTCATTTTGTACAAATTTAATGAATTTTTTATTAACAAACATTGCAATTTAAAAGCTACCATAAACAACATAAAATGTTATTTAATAAAATATAATGGTGCAGATTATTGCCCTTTAGAAAAATGTAAGATATTTATTTTTCACTTTTAATCAACAAACTCAGCTACAGTAAAAGACTGGAATATCCTGCATTTAACTAACCAAAAAGCTCAAGTAACTAGAATATTTTACAAATTTTTTTATTCACCCCAAAACTTTATAAAATGGAAGATTTGCAATGACATTGTAGAGCTCATAATACTACAAATAAATACTGTCATCAAACAGCGCTATTTAGCGTCACTAATGGATAAACATGACATCATAACACCATCAAAACATGTTTCTTTCCATTTTAATGTAAATTTGATTAATTCTTGATAAGCCAGCTTAATTTTTGTAAAAAAGGATACAAGTTCTATTTTTCCTCGCATTCTGAATAAATGATTAGTATTTATGACAGCATGAAGTGGTTTCAAAGTTACAGGATCTGAGCATCAATAATAGCCAAGATACGGGACTTTGAAAATGGATAAACAATGGTGATGTAACATGAAATTTAAGTTTTTTAAATCTATAATTTCTATCTCATTATCTAACTAAACTAAGAATGATCTCTTTGTTTAAATTTCTGCTGGAAAGATTTGTGACATCTCTGCCAGCTTTTACGTTCAGCACAATTTCATAATCGGAGCAGATGTTTTACTTAAAGAAGGTCTTTGAAATACATTAGCTTTTACATCTGATATGCACTTTTTTTAAAAAAATCTTACATAATTTTAAATGTAATTTCTGATATTCAGGTTTATATTCAGGTATAATTTAGGTTTTTGATATTCAAGTATAATTGTTTTTATAATTTTAGAGCAGCAACTTTTCTCATTGATTTGGCTTTCTAATAAGAATTCTGTTTCTTTTTATTAGCTCAACTATCTGGAATTTCAGTTCCTGAGCTTTTGAGATAGTTCAACTTTTACTGTACTGAAAAGTAAAATGTTGACACCTCCTAAAATAAAATATTTTCATTTTCCCCGTTTTCCCATTTATTTAATTTTCAAATTTAATATGTCTCCCTAAGTAGAATGGTGCATCACCAGAGTATCTAAGTGCAATGACCTTACTTTTATTAAAAAATTAATTATTTCAAATGTATCAATATAAATACAAAATTTAAAGTTCTGAGGTTTATGAAAAAGTCCATAAAAGTACAAGTCCATAAGGTAATCGAGCAAAAGGTAAAAATATCGAGCTGGCAACATGTAATGAACATAAGAAAAATACAAGCACAGGCAATTGTGAAAATATAAGGCGCATAATATATAATTTTAACATTATAAACACAAAATAACATCATAAACTGATAACCGAAAGTAGTCAAAGTTTCATCACAAAATTTAAATTATATACATATCAAAAGATGGTTCAAAAGGAGTTGAAAATGCAAAAAAATCTAGTTTCTATTTATACTAGATAAATAGCCACTAAAAATCTCTTGTAATATATTAAAGAAGAAAAAGGTTTTATCTATGGGAGTAGGCATGCACGAATTTCATCCAATCGATTCATGATTATTTTGATTACATAAAAAATAGAAAATTCACTAAAGATTTTGTTTACTTCACTAATGACCTGCAAAAAGTCCTTAAACTTTTAAATGTCATGTCTGAAATAATCTCGGGCACAGCACTGGTGTTCTAAAATGTCATGCCAGAGTATTACTCGGGCTAGGCTTAATTTTTAAAATTAGAAGTGCCGAAGCCCTATGGAAGACTGAGGAAGGAAAGAAAAATAAATAAATAAATAGCTAAAAATTAAAATAATTAAATGATAAATTTAAATTAATATTGATTTAATTAATTAATTAATTAAAATTAAAAATATGTAAAAAGATAAAGAGAAATCTAATAAATAACTAAATTAATTTTAAACAGTTAAATAGGAAAAAAAAAGTATTAGACATTGTCTTATTTGGGGCATCAGCTGGAATTACAGTTCCACTTAGAACCAACTCAGCCGATCTCCATCTGAGTTCCGAGTCCATCTGATTATGTGCATAATACAGTTCAAAGTCCATAATCCGGACCTCAAAGCCACAAACTTTACGCATTGCATACATTAAGCATGCTCGTAAAGAATGCACATAATGTATGCTTTACGCATGTGCGTGTTGAAAGAAATGTTTAATAAAATAAACAAATAAATATTAAGCTTTTTTTTTTTTATATATATATAAAATTTGATACCCTTTAGATCATAATTGCTCTTTATTTCATAAATTACGGTTTCATATTTTTAATTGTATAATTTCTGCATGCCATTTTACCAGATTTAAATTGATGATCTATAATCCGGAATCGCCGAAGTCCCGACGAGTCCGGATTGCAAACTTTGTACTGTATACCATTTCAAGGCATGACAGATACTACTCTTTTCTTGCAGCACATCAAGGAAAAAAGATAAAATGATTAACCTTTAAAAGACGGGTGGCCCAAGAATCAGCCAGAGCTGCAGTGTCTCAAAAAGATGGCTGTGGCTGAAATATCAGCCAGCGAATTCTCCTCCCCCCATCCTTCAGGGTGCGGAGATAGTCATTGTCTGAATAACCTCCCTTGCCAGTTATACGAGATGACCTCCACACCTACCAACTGTGGGGTTTTGTAAATTCACTTTCGTTTCCCTCAGCAGCGAAATCTTAGCAATTTTACATTAGTATTAATTTCACCAACTTTTCTGTGTCATTAAAAATGTATTTTTTCTTTACATTTCTCCCTTTTTATTGTAATTTTTGTATTTAATATTGCTGTTTGAAACATGCAAAATGCAATGGAAACATAATCAATAAAAATCTGTTTTTAAAGTAAAGAAAAAAAAAAAAAAAAGCTTTTATCACAAAACTGCAAGAAAGAACAACGAACAATAATGTAGTTGAAAGATGAAATAACTTACGATACAATGGGAGGGGGGATGAATAAATTAAACTGAATAAGAATACTAATGAAAAAGGTAAACAAAACTAATACTATTAAAAAAATACAATGGGATTTGTTTGATATATAAATATAAGCTGTTACACAATGCTTGGAAACAAATAAAAGCGAACTGCCAATTTATACGAGAAAAAAATAGTTAAACATCATTTTTGAGTATAAATTAAAAATGTTAATTAGTGCATGTAATTCTAAACTAAATTCAGTTTGGAAACAAATAAAAACTGAATAAACTATGAACTGATTATAGGCGGCATTTGCTGCTAAAGCATATTTTCATTATGATGCAATGTCAAAAGTTATACGAAATCTCACCATAACATATTTCCCTGGTTTAGGGGAAAGAAACAGCAGAAAAGAGAACAAATTCTTTTATATTATTCCCTTATCTCTTATCTGAAAATTAACAAAGGCGACCTACAGGAAAAGTTGCAAAAGAGTAGTAGTTTCCCTTTACAATGGCAGCTAAAAGGGGAGGTGGAAATGCATTTGGATTTCCCATCTTTTTAAGTGAAACCTTTCCAAACTGCCCCGTCTCTTAAAGGTTAAAGCTTCACTAAAAAGAATAGTGAGAATTCTAGAAACAGTATGAGGATATGGAAAGAAATTTAACAGAAAAGTGTAGGTTTGTAAATAAACAGGGAAGAGTTCAAGACTTTCTGACTGCGATGCCCTATCGATATAATTCTAGCCGTCAAGCAGAAATTTTCCCTGAATAAATTTTCCTTAATACAGCATGAGAATAAACATAAGACTTCTCTGTACAAGTGACAGCAGTGGTCCTCCTGTTTGGTTACATCATTCAGAAAGTCGAGTCTACAGGAGCTCTACAGTAAGAAGTCACTAGTATGAAGCGTGCATGACCAGGGTATCAGATTTAGTTCTTTGACGAATACAAAATTTACCCGCTCTAATAAATTCATTGCATATCCTGGAGAATAAGCCTTTGACATATGACTTAAAGCTTTTCTTTCCTTAAAAGTCTTAACCTATGTGCAAGGCTTGAGTGCGAGGGAAAGACAGGCCTGCACTTAGAAGTTAAAATTGATTTTTAAGGCAAGTTTACTATTAAAACAAAAATTATGCGCTAAAACTGTGGTTCACTTACATGAATGAAATGACGGCTGACATTAAAATTTAACTCGAAAATTGAGAAGTACCGAAGCCGGACTTCGGCACAATTTAAGCTCTGTACTCGGTGTAATTTTTTTTTTTTTTTTTTGAGTGCATCATATTGTTATACCCAAATATATATAGCGAGAAGTTTGTTTTGACTTTAATTCAATAGACAGCAGCACTTTATTGAAAGTTTCAAAAGATATAGGTTTATGTTCAAAGTGTGCATCATTTTTTTGATTTTTTTCAATGTGCGGCAAACATTTGATTTTTACAATAAAAAAATTGACAATTTATGTACCCAGATCATCAAAATAACTTGACAATCAAAGGGGTGTAAA